AAATGTAGTCTCCTCCCACCACCGGTGTAACAGCCATTATACACGCAATCCCACGCTACAATGTCGAACACAGCCAACAACAAGGAAGTCGCGCCGTCAATTGACGTGAAGAACCTCTGCTATGCCTTCCCCGATGGCTCGAGTGGGCTGAAAGATGTCTTCCTTGACCTGCCGCCCGGCAGCAGAACACTTTTGATCGGAGGTATGCAAGAGTGAATGTTGGCCATGAAGATCTTGACTAACGGTCACAGCCAATGGCGCGGGTAAAACCACGCTCCTCCGTCTTCTCTCCGGCAAGCGCATGGCCCCCTCCGGCACCGTCCACATCGCGGGCATTGACCCTTTCAAGATGGGCCTCGAGGGCGTGACCTACCTTGGTCTGGAATGGGTGCTCAACCCCATCGTCCGCACCGATATCGACGTGCCCACGCTCCTGTCCTCCATCGGCGGCGACCACTACACCGAGCGCCGCGACGAACTCGTGCGCATCCTCGACATCGACCTCAGCTGGCGCATGCACGCCGTATCAGACGGCGAGCGAAGGCGTGTACAACTTGCCATGGGTCTGCTGAGACCGTGGACTATCCTGCTGCTGGACGAGATCACCGTTGATCTCGATCTGTTGTCGCGCAGCAACTTCCTCAACTTTTTGAAGAAGGAGACGGAGGAACGACCTTGCACAATCGTATACGCGACGCATATCCTGGACAACCTCGCTACGTGGCCTACACATCTCGTGCACATGAGCCTGGGTAAGGTGAAGAAGTGGGGCAGCACCGAGGATATGGATGTCAAGGTCGAGCAGGGCGAGCGCATGTACACGGGAAATAGTCAGCTGGGTGAGCTGGTGTTGAAGTGGCTGCAGGAGGATCTGACAGAGCGGGGTCCCAGAAATGGGAAGGGTGAGGGCGCGTCGTATCAGAATCTGGAGGGTAAGGGTGGTTATGGGGCGGAGAAGAGGGTGGAGAAGGAGTAATCCAGAGGAGTGGGAGAGAATACATCTCGGCATGCTTCAACAATGCGTGTCGATGGAGTTTCAACAGGCGTTTGGGCGGCACTCAACGATGATACCCCATCTTGTTCAACAACTATATTTCATGGCACCCACACTTCGCCCATATCCTTACACGATACTCGCTCGTGAACGATCCAATTCATATGCAAGCCTGGCAGAAGTATATGCGATGCTATCAACTATCCACCATTTCGCTCACTTTGCGTGGCATAAGGATTTCTGAAAACTTCAGATCGTTGTGGACAAGACACTTCGAGTTCATCGATTGTCCGAGTACTGCGCTATCGCCAAAGAGGGAAGGCGCACCCCTCTTGACGCTAACCAACATTTTCGGACACTCAGTCATTGGCAGCCCGCCAGCCGTGCAATGAAATGCATGTTACGGTCCGCAAGAGCATTCAGTAGTATCAAAATGGCGCAAGCGCCGCGTAAGCCTCTTATCACCATAGTCGGTGCGACAGGGACTGGCAAGTCTGATGTAAAGCTCGAGTTGTCCAGTCACGCTTCATCTTGCTGACCACAACAGGTAGCTGGCAGTAGAAATCGCGCGAAAGTATAATGGCGAGATCATCAACGGCGACGCGATGCAACTGTATCGTGGTTTGCCTATTATTACGAACAAGATCACGCAAGATGAAACGAAAGGCGTTCCTCATCATCTTCTAGGCTGCATTAGCCTTGAAGAAGAGACTTGGACTGTGGGGAAATTCGTGGGCGAGGCCTTGAGAACAGTATGGCTGAACAGCATACAGTCCGGATGAAGACTGACGTGACCAGATTGATAAAATCAGAAGTAGAGGCAAACTGCCGGTCCTAGTTGGTGGCACTCATTACTACACGCAGTCGCTCTTGTTCCAGGATGCGCTATCAGATGAGCCTGAACTGAATCTGAATGAAAACAGCCAGCCACTGCCTATACTAGAAGAGCCGACCGATGTCCTGCATACCAAATTGAGGGAAGTCGATCCTGTCATGGCCGATCGGTGGCATCCGAATGAACGGCGCAAAATCCAGCGTTCACTGGAGATATATCTAAGAACGGGCAAACCAGCTTCGCAACTTTACAAAGAACAGAAACTTCAACGCGAAGCCTCTGCTGCCCAGGCGGATGGAACAACATCGGATAACCGGTCAGGCCTTCGTTTCGAAACTCTTGTGTTCTGGGTGCACGCAAACAAGGACGTGCTCCATCGCCGTCTTGACGGCCGCGTTGATAAGATGATCGCCCGAGGTCTACTTTCTGAAGTTGAGGAACTTAGCAGTTTCCGTGAACGCCACGAAGCTGACACAGGTGCCAGTATCGACCAGACCCGCGGCATCTGGGTATCCATAGGATATAAGGAGTTCCTGGAGTATCAAAGTGCTCTTTCAGATGGCTCGCTGGGGTCATCTGAACTGGAGAAGCTTAAGATTCTCGCGATCGAGAAGACACAGGCAGCCACCCGCCAATACGCCAATCGGCAGATCAAATGGATCCGCATCAAGCTCCTCAATGCACTGATCAGTGCGGGCCAGAAGGATAACACTTTCCTAGTCGACGGTTCCGACATATCGGAATGGGAAGACAAGGTAGTCAAACCTTCCATAACCATTACCGAACAATTCCTCTCCGGACAACCACTTCCCTCACCCTCGACGTTATCGCCGGCAGCAGCAGAAATGCTGACACCGAAGCGCGAGTACGATTTAGGCCAGCGACCAGACCTCTGGCAGAAGAAGGTCTGTGAGACATGCGGCACGACGTCTATCACCGAAAACGATTGGAGTTTACATGTCAAGAGCCGAGCACATCGCAAAGCGGTAGCCACAAGAAAGAAGCAGGAAAACGCACATAAGATGCGGAACGGCAGCACAAAAAGCCCTCAAGCAGAAGTGATTGATGTTCTCCAACACTATCTAGATACCTTTCCTGGAAGCCAAGAGCCCAAATGAGTGGTGGGCTGATACAGCGGAGTTGAGAAGCCGCCTTCGTTCACATTCCTCTCTTGTGCTCAGCAGCTGCACCCGCCGCGACATCCAGTTCCAGGGAGATTGTTTGCGTTACACGCCCCATCATTTGCACACGTCACCCAACCGCCGTTACCCCCGTCGAAGGCCAGCCAGCACCATTCTCCTGGGTCGCCGCATTGTTTCCAACAGTAGCCGTTCTCGCAGCCCCAGGGACGAGCGGCACAGCTTTGCGCATGGGCTTCTTCGAGGGGCTCGATGGCGATGGCGGTGGTGGCGCTGATGCCAATGAGGATTGTGAGGGTGGTGATGAGCTTCATGGTTGTGGGAGGACTGAATGGGGAATTGGTTAGGCTTTGGGAATTTGCGACACCATGGGAAGAGTCTTACTTTTTCGGTGTGTCGTTTGTCTTGAATTCTGAAGTTTGATCGACTTGTCGGTCTGAATGGTGTATTCGGAGGAGACAGTGGGAGTCTTTTCTGTGCTTGCATGATCTTCACGCATTCTTCTTGCCTTTATATCCATCTTCTGGCACTATCGTCCGACTCAAAGGAGAAGGCGACGCGTCAAGCGCTTACTCTACACCGAGTACAGTATCACCCGAGTTACTGCACTTGGACTTCAGCGCAGTCGCAATGGTGTTCAGCGGAGATGATCTAAGGTCAATTTGACGATGTCTTGATAGTGTTGCTCGCTCATCGGGAATGTGACCGTTGCGACTTGGCTGCATGCTTACATCTGCGAGATCTACCGAAACCAACCAGCGCTTTTTGAAGTCATAGACATACCACATCGCGCGATGTCATCTTCACCGCTGCGAAAACGATGCGAAAGATCTTGGACACAGATACTCAGGTCCCAGGTCATCCGGGGTCGGTCTTCTTGTCGCGCGATGTTGGAGCGCGGTATTTGATCATAAAGAAAATGTATATGGCTATGATGCATGAGCCGTATTACAATTGATATACTGTTTCTGATGTTTCCTGGAAAGGGTGTCTTGCGCAAGTCGAGTGAAGTTGGCCGAACGGAATGTAGTTGCCGAGGTACAGCAGGAGGAAAGTTCAGATGACGGTGGTAACATTGTAGACGCCCGCAATCGATGGTTTTCGACAAGTTGCCTAATTTGGATGACGCCAAGCAAGGCGCACCAACATCCAACCCTTCTGGAAACGATGATTAACCAACGCATACCTAGCGAGGAAACCGTACATCAACCACTGACCCGACACACAATGCAGCCTCCAAGAATTGTATCTGCGCTTCGACGGGTTCCCGACCCTTGTTTTCCGGAGAACCGCCGATGATAAACTTCCCTAGCGGGTCACGTCAAACACGCGTCCCTGTCTCGCGACGTGTCAGCATTCTCCTCCACCGCTGTGAATCACGAATATCATCACGTCTTCCATCCTCTTCAATCTTCCAGGTTGCCCGAAGTCATCCGCGCTTGTGTGCTCTTCACCTATCGCCGTCCTACACCTCTGACCTCTTCGCTAACGCGCCGCGCCGATGGACGATGATGTAGTCATGTCTTGGGATGGCCCGAATCAGGCTGCCCCCAATCTTACCACGTTGCCCACTGAACTACTCGATAAAATCTTTGGACATCTTCGGCCAAACATTCGGCTTTCCAATCTGCCGAGACGTTGTGACCAGAGCTGGCTGGAACACAACGACGACGACCGTGCGAAGAGAAAGGGCTTACATAGTCTTTGCCAGACGACAAAAAGGCTCAGAAAGAGTGCGACACCTCTGCTCTACACAGATATACATGTCGTTGGCTGGAGAAAAGAGAAAAAGATGAGGCAAGCGTTTGGGCCTGAAGCACCCTTTGAGTTCTCAATGGACGAACAGGGCATCGTTCGCCAATTGACGAGACTCCTCCGAACGTTTAAAGAGCGATCAGAATTGGCCAAATACGTTCAAGTCATCCGTTGTAATCAACCGCTAGCCCGAAGAACCAAGGAAGATGGCCTTGATGAACAACACGATGATATGGTGCTAGCGATAGAGGAAGCAATTGATGAAGGCCTGCCAACCATGGTGCAAGGTCTATTCAATCCTATTGTGGCAGGCATTTGGGAACGCGAATTTAAGGGGGCCCCAGAGAAAGCGCAGATGACGCTCTTGCTTTGGTTGAGTCCGAACGTATCAGAGCTGACTCTCGGTACCTACAACGGCTCTCTGAGCAGAATTCTTGGTCTTGAACTTGGATCAAGCAGGCCCAGTCAATTTGTAAAACTTACTACGATCAACGTCATCACAGACAGTTTCATTATGAATGATGATCATAACGGAGTACGCTGTTTATATCCGGAACCGGAGTCATACGATGATTGCATTGCGACCTTTCGGTATCTTCCAGCTTTGGAACACTATCGTCACCGCGAACCGTACGATATACAACGCGCTCTTCTCGGCCTCGAGGCTATACGGCTTCCTTTCGAAGGAGATGGGCTCCGAAATCTTAGCACTCTTCATCTCGTTGACTGCCATCTATCGATGCAACAGATAATCATGACCGTAGGATCGTGCTACCGACTACGGGAGTTTCGTTTCGAACTGGGTTTTCTATCAAGCTATGACGAACCTGACGACACTGAACTTTTTTTGGACTGCGGCGGTATCTGCGAAGCGCTTCTTCAGAGCAAGGATACGCTGCGATATCTTTCGCTCTCCCCAATTGACGCCAGGTCCAGCGACCAAAGCTGTTCCACTCTCGCAGTTGGTACTCTTAACAAGTTCACGAAGCTACAAACTCTGTTAGTGCCCGCTATGATTCTCACAGAAACGCCTATAACGATAACCTACACCTCGGAAGAAGCTCACTGGGATCCGACTCTGGACTACCAGCTTCGAGTAGTTGAAAGCTTACCCACTTCGATTACCTTGTTGGCACTCAGCAACGACCAACTCTCGAGTCCTCATGATGGCAGTTGGCACCTAGAAGTCGCGGACAAGGCCAATCGACAGCTGGCCAAGGGGATCGGGAGGTTGCCCAACCTTCGAGCAGTATATCTTCTACATGGAGCGCCACATGGAATTGTGTATATCCCGGACCTTTGGGATGCCTGTCTGCAAAATGATATTGAATACGTGGTAGAGGCCGGCCTGGAGTTTGACTCGATTCTCCTCAAGCATTATGAGATGAACACTTAGTATGGGAATGTAAATATTGTTATTCCGCCGACACATGTACTGCCTTTTCTCTTTCTCTATGTTATAAAAGGGTCGTGTTCGTCAATGTATTTACTATACTGACAGTGCGTGCTGTACTCGTCTTGCGTGATGCTCGCCGTCACAGCCGTTTGTCTTATCAAGACCAAACAGTAGCTCCGTCGACGGTGTGTAATGCCCCCAACGGTCTGGTGACAGAGGAATGCAATATACCACTTCATGTAAATTTTCGTCTAATAAACATTGCTGAGAAAGGTTTCCGTTGGCAACGACATCCTAAGTCAAATTGAAACAGCATTTGGTCACTTGTTCCAGGCCGTTCTGTTAGAAGAAAGATGAATCTTCCCAGCAGCAGTAGCTGAAGCCTCAGCCGCAACAGTTCCGATCACTACTGATCGATTTTACGCAGGCAACTCGATGGACCGTATTTGTGTTGTTCCTAGAGATGCAAGGATAGCCACGTATTGTACAGGTGCAGAAAGACAATGTATTCGACCTGATTTATGTATCTTTACCAGAGCAAGTAACATCCCTGTGCGTGAATTCGCTCTATCCACAATGGACGCTGTATGGGAAGACACTAGTGAAGCTTTGGTATTACTTGTCTGCTCTCCCTCGTGAGGTTTTTAGGCTCATCATTGCTCCCATGCCACCTGCAGAGCCTTGCTCGTCGTCACTAGTTGTTACTATGTGTTGGGAAGAATGTTTCTATTGCCGCACTTGGGACAAAAGAAGGTTGTACAGCCTGCCTTACGCATAGCTTCAACGTGCACAGCTTGCATCTTGCAAGGGATGCAGATAGCGAGAGCCGCTCGATCAAGTGTTTTCGTTCGCTGAGAGTGTAGCGCAGCATCTGCGGCGAAGGTGGGATATACCAGTAGCAGCTGCTCGAATACCTTCGTCGGAACAAGGTCTTTGTGCTTGTCGAAGACAACTGAAGTTACGAGACGTCCCATGGCCCCGTCGACGTTGACTTCGGTACCGTAGTGAGCGTGGATTGCAGTGGTGAGCATGTCTTGATCTTTGACAGCTTCCATAAGTACAGCCTTCACGTCTTCTGCAGCGGGCTTGTAGAGCTTAGCGATATCGTACTTGTCAGCGATAGCGTGCACGTCGATTGGAACCAGTACGCGCTTGTTCTTGTCGTCGCCTGCAAGTTTTGCGATCTCGTCCTTGTTGTACGCGCCCGTGTAGATGAATTTGAGGACAAACTCAAAGTGTTCGGGATCGTCTTCGTGTAATTCCATGATGGCTTCCGATGACTCCTGCAAAGTGTCAGCGTTTATCCCGTGACCTGCGTTCAGACTTTTGTTGACCCACCTTGAAGTTACCGGTGAAGGCATTCAGAAAGTAATCGGACTCTTGACATAGCACAGCTTTATGCGCGTAGTACTCGCGTGTGTGGCCGTTATATGTCTGTTTGATCTTGACGTCGGAAAGGACGGGGTTGTTGAAGAGCCTGGGTTCGCATCAGCATGTAGCATCAATGAGCTGGCATGGTTGGCTTCTGCGACTTACCTAGTACACGATCGCTTTGAGTCAGACATTCTGAGAACGTTGTGACTGGTAAGTTTCGCAGTGAGATGGTGCAGTATCGATCCTCGGAGAAGTGAGGTTGGTGCCACCCGCCTGCCCAAGTGGGCAGCAAATAAGTTCGCCGCTTTTGCGCTTGTCCGAATCGGGGTAGAAGAGTTTATCGCGGTGTGAACGCGCTAGGCAACCGCGGATGGCGAACGCAACGAAACATGTAGAATTGAGAAAGGAGAAGAGGATAAGAAAGCTTTCAAGAAAGAGTATAGGTAGCCACGACCGAATCCACTAGGCCAGCTGATAGCTTCTCTTATCGACAGGATCAATCTTCGAAGCTAACATCTACAGGTTGTCTTTCATATTCTAGGTACGCTACTAGTATATCCACAGCAGGCTCACAAGTCGTCAATGAGCGGGCTAAGGCCCTGCGCGGTACCAATCCTCACCTCATAAAAGTCCCTCCGCCTCTCAACGTGACCACGGTCTGCCATGAACTCAGCAAACGCAGGCGCATCTGTACCGGGCTGCTGCAGGATCGTCTCGGCGCCTTCTGGTGCTGGGATATCCTCGCGGACACTCCAGCCACGGCTAGATTGGTTCTCGTCGCTGAGCATGAAGCTGTGGAGCAGCTTTGCGCCTTCAGGGTGGGGTGCTTTCTTCAGGATTGCGCCGGTCTGAGCCCAAGAGACAAATTTGGCGTCGCTGGGGAGCGCGTACTTGACTGGTGGTCGGTCTGCGAATGAGTAACCCGAGCTAAAGGTCACCGCGCTGCTGCTGTTGGCAGCCTTGATGAGTGTGCCAGGCGTTGCCGTACCGCGCACCCAGCGGGGGTTGTTGGCGAGCAGGGCGTTGAACCATTCCTCACCGAGCTCTTCGATGCTGCGCAAGTCGTTAGCTAATGATCAGGCATATGAGGACGGGAGGGGAGAACGTACATTAGTTCGAACTGGTACAAGACGGCATCATCGTCATTAGGGTAGGTCAGAACGATCTTGTCCTTGTATTCGGGCTTCGTGAAGTCTTGGTACGAAGTCGGCATTGTGCTCGTCTTGTTCATGTTTGCAGAGATACTGTTGCTGATTAGCGTATGTAAGTCGAGGCATTACCAGAAATAGCATACCCCCAATCAAAGATAAGCAGTCCACTGTAAGCCGCTTCGGCGTCCTTGAACACAGGATAGATCTTGTCGAAGTTCAATGGTGCGTAGTTCATCAAAGCGCCTTGCTTCTTCCATCGTGGGTAGTCGTGAAGCGTCTGCAGGATGATGCTGTCGACGTAAACATTGTCGGCAGCCAGTTGTGCGTCAAGGTTGACATCATGGTACTTCGACAGGTCGACGGTGACATTGAGTGTCATGTTAGGAAATCGTGCCTCAAAGGCACTCTTCAGACTGTTCTGCTGAGTCTTCTCATCGCCGCCATGCCAAAGAGTGACAACGCCACCTTCTGCCAAAGCTGCCTGGTAGATTTCATCGAGGCTGCGCGTCTCTCGCTCCAAGTTTGTGGTGTTTGGCAAAGAAGCTGCCCAAGAAATCCCGGCAAAAAGTGCCAAGCTAGAGTATTCGAAGCGCATCGTGGCTGATTTCGGTCGGCTGGCTGTGATAGAGGCGCAGTTGTTTTATGAGCCATCGAGGTGTTGCACATCTTATATCGGCGACTACTCATCACAGACCCACGCGCTACAGATGCTATCGCGACAGATTGATTACGATCATTGCTTCCACTTCCGATTCCGACTCGGGCCTTTAGAACCTGTTTAGCGGACCAGAAGGAGGCTGAGACTTCACTGAAGTTACGCGGCCTCCAGATACAATGGACGACGTTGTACTAGAGGATCAAGCCTCACGCTTCCAATGGTGTCAGGAGCTGCAAGCACCCGAAAGTAAGACGGTTGGCACGCGTAGTCTTCTTGATGCAGCATCTCCAGGAAAGTGTTGCGAAATCGACACTTTTGTTTGGCAGGGACCGTGCGGGTGTTGTGGGACTGAGTACGAACGTGCTCCCAATCCGTATGGTCTACGGCCGTATCAGAAGGAAGCTTTATCGCGTCGATTCAGGGCTTCCAAGAATGAGAGGGCGAGTGGGCCTCGTAGAAGGAGAAGACGGGTAAACTTCGGGTTGAAACAGGTCAACGGTGGTCATGATTGAGTGCTGAGCTGACACGGGAGCGGCTCTAATTCAGGAGAAATGTGGGCGGGGCACAGACTTGGTGATGGAGAGGGCTGGTCACGTGGACGCTTCGCTTGTTCCGGTAAGGCGCGTCCCCCCTTATCGCAAGCCCCCGGCAATCGGCACCGTCATCCAGGCCTTCGCCCTGGACGCGTGAAGGTATGCCGTCGCAACAAACATCACCGCCATCGCTAGCGGAATCCAAGAATGGACCGAGGCCTGCGAACTACACCCGATGGACAATGATACAGAAAGTTCTCCGCAGGAGCCGCCTGCCAAAAAGCAACGAACACTAGCTTGCCAGCGATGTCGCTATCGGAAACAGAAGTGCGAAGACAGCCGCCCGTGCCAGAATTGTGTCAAAGGGGCCGAAGAATGCCTTCCTACGCAGCCAGCGCCTCGGCCGCATGCTGAGAGCGAATATGTGCGCATTCTGGAAGAGCGTGTTGCTGAGCTTGAGGCTCGAGACCCGCAGCAGAGCCTTGATCATCTAGCAAGAACCCAGAACAGGCCAGATCACGACATAGATGACACGTCCCCAGCGAGCAGTGGGTTACCGGGTGATGGGATCACAGGGGGAGCAGTTGCTCATTCGATTCAACAAACCCTGCCGCCGCGGCGGTCATCTATGCTTTCCGGCTCATCTTCGGGTTATGCAATAGCTTCGGGCACAGATGATGAGCCCGACTTGAATCATCTCATCTTTGGGCTTATCGCATCACCTTCAGCGCAGTTTCCAGCTCACGATGCTTCTCGTACCCCAACAGCCGCACGACCAGCACAGGTCGAAGTGCATAGCGCGCACACATTGTTGACCAGCATCTCTCCGGAACCCGAAGAATCATTGCTCAACGCATATCGCGAACGCGCTCAAGCCCAGTATCCCTTTTTCCACTGGGACACCTTCCTCACATGGCATTCGGAGTGGAAGCACTGTTTGTCCCGTGACCTTGAAGAACGAGCATGGCAAGGGTTCTTCATCAATCTTGTGTACGCGACAGCTTTAGTACTGTTGCGTCAACCTTATGCGGCAATGCTCAATGCTCGAGAATTTTACGATAGTGGTATCGCACTCTTGCCGGCTGTGCTACGTCAACCGGATAGAATCCTCCAGGTGCAGGCATATCTACTGCTGTCCGTGCATGCACTACACCAGAGCTCTACTGAGCGCATCATTTCTCTCGCGTCCACAGCGATACGACAATGTGTCCTGCAACAATTACACCTCGGCGAGACGGAACCACCATCAACCGACGTTCACGCACGACTGGTAATTCAAGTTCGACGGCGATGCTTTTGGTGCGCGTACCTTCTTGATCGGCTGGTCATGTCATCCTTCGATCTTCCTCCGTCTGTGCCGGACTATATGATTACCGTAAGGCCTTTCGCTAACATCGAGGATCATGACCTGTTAGGAGCCGCTGCCATCACACCGCCTAATCATGATTTGACTGACTCTGAGAATTACACATGTAACTCCTCGGCGCTTCATATATTGCAGTGCAGGCGCATACAATCCGAAATAAGCGCCGTTACGCTTCGATGGGATTACCAAGCTCAATTTGAGAATAGTTCAGACTGGCGGATAAGAATACTTGCGGAACTGGAGAACTTCAAATCTAGGGTACAAAACTTTTCAGATCCACAGTCAAAAGGTTATACATCACAACGGTGGCAAGCGATGATCTATCACTATACGTTGCTCATGCTTTATCGACCGACAAAAGCCAACGTGATCGGATCTGCCGGCGATTGGTCGGTTCAAGCCAGCAGCCAGGCTTGCTTAATGTTTCGTAGGACTCAGATCGATCGTCAAATCGCTCAGCCATGGCTTGCAGTAAGCATTTCCGTGCACTCGATGACGCATGCGCTGACCCTAGCAGCTCCTCGTACAATTCCAGTCTGGTATCACACTCCTGTACTGCTTCTGGGCTACCCCGCCGGAACACAGAACCGACAATTACTACTCTCTCGATATCTCTGACGCGCTCCGCGCCTGCTCCAACATTCTAGCGATAATGGCAGACAGGTGGGCGAAGGCAGAATGCCTGCGAGACGTCTTCGAGCTACTGGCGCGCGAAATCCCGCTGGTTGACCGACCCAACAAACCACCGACTCGGCTGTCAGAGAAAACCGTTACGGCAATCCGAGAGCACCTTCCGCAGGTTCGCGCGCTAGTAGTGCATCGTCCGGTGTTGCGCATGATCGATGAGATGATAAATGAAGACTTCCCTCGCTCTGCGCAACCTTCCCAGCTACCAACGATTCGTGGCATGCTTGCTCCGAATCACCAGGAACCTGAGGAAGACTTCAACAATCAGCTACAGCAGATCAACGGAAACTTCCAGATGCCATTTGCCATGCAGCAGCCATTTGAGTACGGAAATGCAGATTCTGGGCTTGAGGATATGGCTGTCGACTGCCTGCTCTCGTTTCCTGGTGTGTTTGATTTCGAGGGCTGGACATGACAAGTCGACGAAAAGAGATGTCATTGGGACTAGTGTACTCATATTGTACGCTACCAACCACTTTACAATCACGCTGTTTTGCCTTTGTCTACGATGGACTCTCCTGCGACAGTCTCGAAGAATGCATCCGCCAAATATCCACCGCAGTAACTCAACTTCTCAAACCCATCAGTCATAGGTTTTGAGCTAAGAGCTGGGCCTTGCACCGACTTCAAGTAGCCAGCGATACCTTGGTCCTGCCACATCTTCGCAAATTGCTCCGTCACCATGTTCAGACCTTGCAGACTCCAGATCGGCTGGACCTGCCACACGATGCCTAGCTTGGCAAGATCGAGATGAAGATTCTTGACCTGGTCATCACTGAAACCGGCTTTCGTAAAGTCGTAGTCACCGGTGTAGCCAAAGGCAAAGAGCCGTTCTGGATACACTTTGCGAACTTCGGCGTGGAACTCGACGATGTCGTCCCAGTTCGGAGAGTCCATACGCGCCCAGGTCACGTCTCCGAGTGGCGCAGCGGCGATGGCACGCTCGACGATACCCTTGACACAGCTCTTGATCATGTACTGTCCCATTGCTGATCGCGATAGTTCCCAGTCGAAGAACACATCCTGTTTTACCGTCTTACTTGCAATGCCGCGACGGTCTGATAGAGAAGCAACCTGGCGTTTCGAAAGCTCCGCCTTGTAAGCGGCAAACTCTTCTTTCGCCGCAACAGCTTCGACAGCCTCATCGAAAGTCTTGATCCCCGCTTTTGCCTTCCACTCGTCCCGCGCAGCCTTCAAATCTTGCCCCTTCATCTGCGCAGCCGCAAGACACTTTTGTAACGGCTCTACTGTCGTTGTCGCCCCCTGCACATACTCGTGATCGCGCTCGTCGACAACACTGGTGATGAACTCGGCATGGTCCGTGTCGCACCGGCACAACAGTAGCGTCTCCGCGCCCATGACATCAAATTGCATCCGCACAGCTGTCAAACGATCCAGATACTCTTGAGTCGGCACAATCGTACGCCCTTGGCCGACTGTAAACTTTTTCATCCCGATCGCAAGGTCGTCAATATGTATCATCGCGACACCAGCGTCCACGAATTCTCGCGCCATCTTCATCGTACTAGTCAGGCTACCGAAGCCCATGTCGCCATCCGCGACGATTGGCGCCATGTAGTCCCAGTTCTCCAGCTCTTCACGCTTCTCAATCGGATGTCGTAACCGGTACTGTCGCTGACGCTGGTCATGCCAAAGCTGGCTTTTGAAGATCTTGGAGACGACCTTTGGCACGGTGTCCCAAGGGTAGTCGGCGTGGTCCATTCCGGGGAGTGCGACTTCCGAAAACCCGCATAGAGCACCGGACACGTAGACAGTCTGCTGATGTTTGGCCATCTGCGAGACTGCAACCGGGTCGGTCGTGCCAAATGTCAACTCGCATGTGCCGGCTTTGTTGTGTGCATTGAGTTGTTCCCAGAGCTTGATGGCCTGGATCGAGGAGGCTTCCGAGGGAGCGGGGATGGAAGTACGAAGCGCGGCTATAGTGCTTGCAGTGTATGGTCTGGCAACGAGGTCAGCTGAAATCTGTCACGAAGCAGATCTACTGCTTGAGATATGTCGGGGAAACATACCGCTTCAAATGCGACTGCCTTGCAGAGCTCCATTGCTTTTCGATGGCAGCTACATCAGCTTCGAAAGCCTTCTGCTCATCTTGAACGGATATGTCGAGTTTTGGCATGATACTGGATGTAGAATAGGTTATTCGTATGGTCGTGTAGCAATTCAGCTCGCAGATTTGTGTATCTCAATCAACGAGGTGCCTCTGATCATTTATCAATAAGAAGCATTCTTCATGTCGCAGTGACCCTAGCTTGACACGCGAGACGCGAAGCTAGTATTGTCAGCCGGCAAATACAGGGTCTCTACTTTCTCCACTACAAGGAGGCGTGGAGCCCTCGTTCAGTTCGCACTCTCGCACTTGCAAGTCCGACAGAGTCCGCTATCGGAAGACAAGCGAACGTTAGGACGGGTCCACTTTTGCGGTGCGGAGGCGCACACCTGATCGCTTTGCGACTTCCAATTGTCATGCACTCTGCGTGACATGTTCAGGGTCTTTACTCGAATGTGTATCACTCAAGATTTGGTTATGTGTATCAATCAAGATTTAGTCATGTGTGGCATCTACTGAAGAGCACGTGCCGGACCAATGAGGAAATAAGTCACAGATATGGCAATATGTTCGTGACGAATCTGTTCATTTGTGTAGAACCTGTGGTAACTACAAACTTCATATCAAACTGCTCCCAGCCTGTGTGACATTCACCAGACGTATCGAAAGTGCACATTTTGCTTATCGGTCAAGTCGCGGAAATCAGTATCTGCATGCACCCTTCCACCCTTATCAGAGTCAATGCGGTCCCGCCTGCGGTTCTCATACCAGCAGTACGTTGCATACATGGCGATGGTGATCATCGACAAGACGTAGCTTCCCAGCACAGCACCCATGCCAAGCGGATATAGCGGTGCCTGGTCGGCCTTGAAGAACTGGGGCGCGATGATGTTGCTGATACAGTATGCGATAAAGACGAGCGCATTGACGGTAACTTTCTTCGTGTGGCCTGCGGTGTTTGCCGTGTTGATACCGAGGGCGACGATGTAGGGGCCAAGGTAGAAGTATGAGCAGTACAACGCTGCGAGTCGCCCATTGTAGTTGTCCAGCGGCAGAACGTACAAGAAGACTGCTGAGATCATGCCGACGATGATACCAAACATGACCCATGCCGTTCGCAGCTGTTTTGCTGGAAAGTACTTCGCAGTCAGAAATACTCCGCCATTGCAAACGTAGGACGCAACAGTCTGCAAGATACCCGTAGGCATTGTGAGGAGGGTCGAACGCTGAGACGTGTAGCCGAGACCTTTGATGATAAGAGGCGTGAAGTTCGTCAAACCTCCGTTCGGGACTAGGCGATGTTAGTCCACACTCGGAATGATGGCACATCAAGTTTACTTACTACTGATCCAAATGTGGAAGAAGAACATCAGCCACGTCTTGGGGTCGAGAAACGCTTCAATCATCTGGTCCTTCTTGAACGTTTTGTTCTCCACTCCCGTCTGGTCTTGCCGGATCTTGTCAATTACGATTGCCTTTTGTCGCTCGCTGACGAACTTTGCCTTGACAGGATTGCCAGGCAAGAAGATACCAATTACGCAAGCCCATACGATGGTCATTGCGCCTGTGATCCAGAACATAGCGCGCCATTGATGTTCGCCAGCTAGAAATCCAATACCGTATCCGATTGGGCCAGTGAAGCACACAGAAAGACCCGTATACATCAAGCCGGTTCGAAGAGGTTGCTCACGTCGAGGGTACCACATGCTGATGATAAGGAAATTGCCGGGTACGATAGGAGCTTCGAGAGCTCCAAGAAGGACACGGAGTGCGATTAGTGTAGGAAAGTTGTTGGCGAAACCCGTCGCGATGAGAATGCAGCCCCAGAGCAGTTGGACGACAAACATCAATTTGGCGATCGGAAAGCGCTGAAGGAGGCTGCCACTCGGTAGGCACCAGAACAGATAACCAAACTACACGCATTGTCAGCCCCCCAGAAGCGATGGTGGGTAGGGTTACTTACGTAGAATGCACTACCAACCCAGCTGTATCTATCTCCAGTCAAGCCAGTATCAGCTCGGAAGCCGTACAAGGCCGCTGTAGCTGTCGTCACTTTGTCCATAGCGCCCAGCGTGATGTTGACTGATGTGTCTATTAGCGAGCGCTTCTCGTTATCTCGATTTACAAGCACTCACACCAGAGCAAAGGCACAAGACGCAGGTCTAGCTTCCATCGCAAGCGTGTCGCTTCTTTTCTTGTATACGCATTCTGCCCGGTGAGATGATGAGCATAGGCAGCCGCCACATCAACGTTGGCTGAGGAAACTTCTCCCATCTTGACGGAATGTGTGTCCTCGATGTCGGCGGACGACATGACTTTGCTGTCGTCTGGCATGGTAGCGATGAGTGGGGTGAGGATGGAGATGCAAAAAGAACCTCCCAATGGGTGTCTCGAACGCCTGATTAGATGCGTATCTTATACAAGACCAAGACAAAGAATCATATCAGTAATACCTATCTTGATAACTGGTTGAGTGTCGCTATCTCTAGCTAGACAGCGGCTGGACGGGATATGGAACGTCAGAGTCCAGCTCGATAGGACTAAGATTGTGTCCTTGACTCGTGAACGTTGTCATTCTCCGCATTCTGGCGACGGCAACGATCAACCGGTTCGCATACCCATGTTCGCTGCCTAGCGTCGAGGGACAAAGAGATGGTTCTTCGGACTCTCATGTCCGATGGTGGCACGGTGGGTCACGACCAATAGTGGACTGTCAGGCCCTCACACCACGCCACGATAGTGCTAGTATGGGTCCTGATACCCGACCGCTAGGATCCGTCTGTATAGACGACATGCGCCATGGGAAAACGGGCGATAGGGCTTGCTCGAGGGTTGCTGCGCGTACGGATATGGCGTCCTGCCGCGGCGCCAATTGTCCGTCACATTTCGTACGCAGAGTGTTGTGATCATCGCGCATCGCGTAAAAAATGCTTACAACGATTGTGAGAACGTCGTCGCGGTGGTTGATCGAATATCGAAGTGGGCGAGGTCAGTGGCCTTGCGTGGTTGGAGACGTGGCAAATCGCGAGATAGTCGCGACAAACGTCAACCGCTTATCGGCGGCCATCACGTGCATCGCCGAATGCGGGCATCCCGAAAGCGACATCCATAGAAGACAGCTACATTGCTTTAAAAAAACGTTATTCAGGAAGGATACATCAAACCAAAAGCTCTCTCACTCAATTCGTGCAACCATGGCACGAAATCTACGCATTTGCATGCTTAATGCCGATGCACCGGTGCCTGTTGTTGCCGCCGAGCGCGCCCCCACCTATGGGCGTATCTTCCACCAACTTCTTTCCTCCGCAGCTGCCAACACAAAGTCACCAGGCGCGCCCTTGAGCACTGCCATTAAGATCACATCTACGGACTTCGACGTGACGAGAAACGAATATCCCAGCTCGATAGCAGAGTTCGACGCTATCATCATCTCTGGCTCCGCTAACTCGGCCTACGATGAGCTGCCCTGGATACGCAAACTCGCAAGATGGACGAAAGAGATATATGAGAAAGAGCCCAGGGTGAAGATCTTCGGCAGCTGCTTCGGCCACCAATTGGTGTGTCAAGCTCTACTAGGAGATTATGGTGTGAAGGTGGAGAAGCATCCGGAAGGCTGGGAACTAGGGGTAAAAGAGATCTTACTAAATCGGCAATTCTACCATGCATTTGTTGAAAATAGGGAGGGAAAAGACGGTATGGATGTCAAAAGGATGAGGTTGCAATTCGTGCATCACGACCACGTGGTTGTTCCAGATGTAGAAGCGCTGCCGGGCTCATGGACAACGCTGGGAAGAACTCAGCATTGCGCTAATCAGGGCATGTACGAACCTGGTCGTGTTCTCACGTTCCAGGGTCACTTCGAGTTCGATCGTTTCATCAACAGTGAGACAATCAAGTACTTCTTCCCGAATTGGCAGCCCAAGGTCTTGGCAGAGACGCTTGATGCTATCGATGCGGATGACGATTCTGTAGCAGCAGCTGGAGTAGTTCTGAAGTTCTTCTTGGACGACAGTGCTAGAAAGCATGGTCAGTCACATGCTGTCGTTGGGGGTCTACTCACGCCACCATCAAGAGAATGAGCTTGCACTTTCACAACCGATCCGATATGTATCAACTACATATTGTAGATTTAGACCTACTTACTACCTTCCTTGATCAACGCACTTAATCTCTTAATGCCCTCAAGAATCTCTACTTCCGTATGCCATGCCCATGATAAACGTATACCATTTCCATAGCCCTTTGCCGCACGAACGGCGGATGTAGGGTCCCCTTGCACTTGCATCATATCGCCATATGCAAACTTTACATTATATCGTTCGAGGCCTCTGGCAGCCAAATCGGCACCCTTTCCAGCCAGACCTTCTGGTAGCAGCAGCCAAATGAAGTAGCCTCCAGCTTGCGCAGAAGACTCCTCAGGACTAGTGTCTGCGCCGCTCGCTCGGTCAGAGATCTCATTGTACGGCTTCCCGGTAGAGATAGTGACACCGAGTGGTACCAGAAAGTTTTCTATTCCTTCCAGCATAGCATAATAGCGAGCCCGAAATGTCGGAAGAACTTTGGTTTCAAGATGCTTGCGCAACAACCCAGACTCAAGCACCTCATGGACGAATGAAGCAGCCATGTGTGCGGGACAGCCTCCAGATCTGGTCGCGCCCACTTGCGACAGTGCAAGCGTGAACGCAGGGGTCGCCTCTGCCCAGCCTACTCGTACACCCGGTGCTATGATCTTCGAGAACGAACCATTGCTCATAGCATTACCCCATTCGTCTTTTGGGCCTCCTTCAAGTGTGCGATCGATATCGACAATTCGTGGAGGTACATCACCGAGGCTCTCATAGCTACCACCTTTGTCCGCTGGCCAGCGTAGTATGTCATACACATCGTCGGTGACTACAAGGGCGTCAAATTCTCTTGCTAAGCGAATGAGTTGCTGCCTTCGCCCAAGCGACATGGTCTTCGCGCTTGGGTTTGAGAACGTCGGCACGCAGTAGATGACATGCCGATAAAGCTTCTTATATCTTTCACCCGTCTTTCGCGTTGATGGAGCGGGTGTTGTCGATTTATCTGCGTCCGCGAGACTTCGTCGTAGGAAGTCCACATCCAGCCCTTCATCGTCTTCCGGCACACCCTTCATCATCCCCTGGAACCCGTTGTCCATGAAAATTGGACAGGCCAAAAAGTAGCATGGTTCAACCATCCATATGTTGCGTGTATAGCCTGGCTCGGTGAAGCGTGCAAGGACGTTATCCAAGTTTCCCGACGCTCCATTCGTAACACAGATGCGGTGGGACGAAAGTTCCGAACCGCGTCCGTACGTAGAAGTGAGCCATGCTGCGATGCTGCGTCGAAGTGGTTCGTAGCCAGCATCTGGGCCGTAGATGAGTGAGGCTGCGGTTTTTGCTTGCGAGTTAAGTACGCTTGTCGCACTGTCGAGAAGTTGAGCCGATGGGAAGAGTGACGGCGACGGCCACCCCAATTGCAGATTGATGCTTTCGGTCATATTGGTAGGATCCAGATGCGACAACGATGGTGTTCTTACAGGCAGATCACGGCGACGCTGCCATGAACAGCAGCAGTCGAATCATTTTGCGACCTCGGCATGCGCGCTGCAAACCCATGCTCATGCTCATAATCGCATAGCCACTCAGCATATGGTGGAGAGTGTGGTATCGACCCCTGCCATTCTTTCGGACTCTGGCCCCCGATGGAGAGGAACGTCGGAACTTCGAAGGATTCACTGAGGGGTTCATTCGCGCCGCGCTAGTGAAGTATTAGCGTGTTTCCTGGGAAGGGATCGGCAATCGCGCGTCATCCTCATCCTGCCGGAATGCGCAGCAACTCCACCCTCAACGCGACGCGATAGGCATTACAAACCCGCGCTGCCATGCCTTCGGAACGATATGCCCTGCGGCATCGGTGTCGTTACAGCCAATGGCGCGTGACGAAACAGCTGACCAGGCGTTGCCTGTTTGGCGTGTTCATACCTTGATCTATCCTCTGGCACGAGGGTGGTCTACTTCAATTCCCAGTAATTGTAGGTCAAATAGGAGCTTTTGGCTGTCGGAGACCGCGGTTCACTTTTTCCTCGATTCATTCCCCTCTCAATCTCCCACCAAACATGCCGTTCGTTGAGCAGCCGCTGCAGGGTGCAGGCATCCGCATCGCTATAGATCGCGGCGGTACCTTCACAGACTGCTTAGGTATTATACCAGGGAAACCAGATGTACTCGTCAAACTTTTGAGTAACGATCCAACGAACTATGCCGATGCACCCACAGAGGGTATCCGCAGGATACTCGAGCAGGCCTTGAACGTATCCTTACCACGCGGCGGCAAGATTGACACCAGCAACATCGAATCGATCAAGATGGGAACTACGGTCGCGACAAACGCTTTGCTGGAACGTAACTCCACAAAATGCGCGTTGGTCGTCACCAAAGGTTTCAGAGATCTACTACGCATAGGTGATCAGACCAGACCGAAGCTGTTTGATCTCAACATCCGGAGGCCTGAGACCTTGTTCGACGATGTACTAGAGATTGACGAGCGCGTCACACTCCACGATTCGACCGAGGACAAGTCAACACTACGAGACCCTGACCGCAACTCCTATAACCTGGAAAGGGGGGTGGGCGGCGAAGCCATTCGCGTTTTGCGACCAATTGGTTAGTATCTTGACGTGGAAGTGACTTCCTCGCTGACACTTCAGTAGACAGCACACACGCCCGTGAAGGTCTCCAGGCCCTATTCGACAAGGGCGTGCGGTCCTTGGCGATAACGCTTATCAACAGCTATACTTTCCCGAACCACGAGCTTCAAGTTGCCGATATCGCCAGAGACATCGGCTTCACGCAGATATCAGTCTCATCACAGATCTTCCCCATGATCAGAGCCATTTCGAGAGGCTACTCAGCAACAGCAGACGCGTACCTTACGCCTTTGACGCGCAATTACATCGACGGCTTTCGTGAAGGCTTCGTAGGCGGCCTGGAAGATACCAAGGGTGCTCGTTGCGAGTTCATGCAAAGTGATGGAGGACTAGTGGGGTGGCAGCACTTCAGTGGTCTCAAAGCTATCCTGTCAGGTCCGGCTGGAGGTGTTGTCGGATTCAGCAAGACATGTTTTGATGTACAGCGGAGGAAGCCAGTGATAGGATTCGACAGTAAGTCTAAAGCTCGCGAAACATGTCGGAAGTATACTGACAATTACGCAGTGGGCGGAACCAGCACTGATGTTTCGCGGTATGCGGGAACACTGGAGCACACCTTTGAGTCGATCACGGCTGGTGTGACGATTCAATCTCCACAGCTAGAGATCGACACTGTTGCTGCCGGTGAGTAGCACTCGAATCAATGGATCTGGATAATTACTAAAGTTTCTAGGCGGTGGAAGCATACTTTCCTATCGCAACGGTCTCTTCCTCGCAGGCCCCGAATCAGCAAGCGCCCATCCAGGCCCTGCAGCATACCGAAAAGGTGGACCTCTGACGGTTACAGATGCAAATCTTGTCTTGGGACGTTTGCAGGCTGAGTACTTTCCAAAGATCTTCGGCAAGCACGAGAATGAACCTCTGGACTATGAAGGCGCAAAGCGAGCCTTTGAAGAGTTACTCGTTACGGTCAACGCGGACCTGTCACAGACTAGCGGAAAGACGAAGACTGTCGAAGAGCTTGCTCTCGGCTTTTTGGAAGTTGCGAATGAGACAATGTGTCGGCCCATACGCTCTCTCACTGAAGCCAAGGGGCACCGAACCTCTGATCACGATCTTGCGGTTTTCGGTGGTGCAGGCGGACAAGCTGCCTGCGCTATTGCTGCTAACTTGGGCATCGACCGCATTTTGGTTCACCGCTACTCTTCTATCTTGTCAGCATATGGCATGGCATTGGCAGACGTCGTTCGCGATGTTCAAGAGCCCTGCTCAGTATTGCTGAAGTCCTCTTTCGGTGAACTTGACGAAAGGCTGTCGTCGCTCGAGAAGAATGCAGCGGAACAACTGGCCAACGACGGGTTCTCCGGCCAAACAATCGGTTTCGAGCACTTTCTCAACCTCCGCTACGAAGGGTCTGACACAACCTTCATGGTTTCGCGCCCTGATCAAGGAACGTGGGACGACGCGTTTGTAGCTGAACACAAGCGCCAATTCTCTTTCATCATGCCCGGACGCGATATCCTCGTTGAGAACGTGCGAGTCCGAGCGACAGCCCGGAGCCCATCGGTCGAACCCGAGTTCAACCTCGATCAACAGCTCACCGACTGCTCCCCATCCGCCGTGTCGACAAAGAAGATCTCAGATCATGTTTCTGTCTTCTTCGAAAATGGCTGGACTACTTCTCCTCTGTATCACTTGACAAAATTGGCAAAGGGTGATACCATCGATGGACCTGCCATCATTCTGGACAACACACAGACCATCGTGGTTGCACCGAACTCCAAGGCAACTATCCTAGATCGCCATGTCATGATCGAACTCGACCGAACGACTACCCTACCAGGCAATGAAGCTGCAGCACCTCGGACTGTTGATCCAGTCGAGCTTTCTGTGATGGCTCATCGCTTCATGAGTATCGCTGAGCAAATGGGCCTCGCATTACAGAAGACGAGTGTTTCGGTCAACATCAAGGAACGTCTCGACTTCAGCTGCGCGCTCTTCAGTCCTGAAGGTCGTCTTGTAGCCAATGCACCTCATGTACCAGTCCACCTCGGCTCGATGGAGCAGGCAGTTATGTACCAGCACAACAAGTACCTAGGCCAACTACGACCAGGCGACGTCATCGTCGCTAACCATCCCATATCCGGCGGTACGCATCTTCCGGACATAACATGCGTGACGCCTGTCTTTGACGATGCAGGCAAGACCATCATCTTCTACACCGCTTCAAGAGGCCATCACCAAGAGATCGGTGGAATACTCCCGGGCTCAATGCCAGCCGGCAGCGTCGAATTGCACGAGGAGGGTGCTATGATCGTGTCAGAATACCTCGTTCGCGATGGAGTCTTCGACGAAGAACTAGTCACGAGGGTACTACTCCACGACCCTGCCCAATACCCCAGATGCTTAGGAACACGCAAGCTCGCCGATAACATCAACGACCTTAAAGCACAAGTATCCGCGAACGCGAAAGGCGCAGCGCTCGTGGCTGACCTTATCGCTGAGCGAGGTCTCTTAACCGTACATCTGAACATGCATGCAATCACCGCCAACGCTGAGTCTTGTGTACGCGAATTTATGAAACGTACATATTAACAAACTGGCGGCAAGCCTCTTGTCGCACTTGACTTCATGGACGACGGCACCCCTATTAAGCTTGCCATAACTATCAACCCAGACAACGGGGCTGCGCACTTCGATTTCACCGGTACAGGCGAGGAAGGGTACCACAGTTTCAACGCCCCACAAGCCATCGCCAGGTCGGCCACACTCTACGTCCTCCGCTGCCTCATCAACCAAGACATCCCGCTCAACGAAGGCTGCCTCCGCCCCCTCACCTTCACAATCCCAGAAGGAAGTATCTTAAACCCTTCACCATATGCCGCAGTATGTGCAGGAAACCCCATCACATCCCAACGCGTCACCGACGTTGTTATCCGCGCATTCGAAGCCTGTGCCGCAAGCCAAGGTGACTGCAACGTCTTCTCCTTCGGTATAAACGGCGACTGCGACGACAGCGGCACACCCATCCCCAACTCTGGTTTCGGCTTCGGAGAAACGATATGTGGAGGCAGCGGCGCAGGACCCGGTTGGCACGGTACTTCAGGCGTACACATCCACATGACGAATACGCGTATCACGGATCTAGAGCTACTGGAGAAGCGTTACCCTGTGCTTCTTCGCGAGTTCAGCATACGTGATGGGTCGGGTGGACAGGGGCGGTGGAATGGTGGGAACGGGATTCGGCGCGTCTATGAGTTTTACCGCGATATGAATGCTTCGATTGTTAGTGAGAGGCGGGTTACTAGGCCGTATGGTATGCTTGGGGGTGGGGATGGGAGTAGTGGGGTAAATTACATTGTCAAGAAGGTTGGAGGGCGGTGGTGTAGATTGGGTGGACGAAAGGACTTTTCTGTGCAGAAAGGGGATTGCTTTGTTATTGATACACCTGGTGGAGGTGGATGGGGAATGAGGGATGAGGAGACGGATCAAGTGCAGACTGCACAAAAGTCGGCGGTGGAACGGAGGTTTGTTAGCCAGTTTCAGTTGGCGCAGGAAGCCAGCAACTAGACTTGCCAGATCTTATCTCCAGAAATTCATCGACGACAATTACATAGCTCCATTGCATTTCTCACATTCCTTACAATAGTCTCACCACGCGCCCTCTCTGGCTAGTACATCCCAGCCAACAAGTCGCCAGATCTCCTCCTTGTACCAGGTCTCCACATCTTTATCGTCGATCCTAGCTACCTTTTGTAAGGAGCTCAGCCGCATGGCTGGTAGTGGTTTCGTGAGAACGTCCAGAAACTCATCATTCGTGTTATTTCCATACATACATGCAACGAGTGTTTGTTGCAAGCGATCTTTTGCAAGCGGACTTAGGCGGGCCCTGGTACTCGTGACGGGAGTTTTGGTGCTCAATGTACGGACCGGACGGTTTGACGTCTGGCTTGGACGAGCATTCTGGGGATTCATATGGTTTGGAGCTAGCCCTATGGCGCGTTCAAGTATCAACACAAGAGCTTTGACTTCCAGGCGCGTTCCAAGGGCATCAGTATCTCGCCTCATCTCTTCTGTCTCATCTCTCGGCTCAGGCGGCGGTAGGATGTTGCCTTCGATGGACGTGCTGCGGTGCTGTCCAAATGTGAAGTAATACAATCTTTTGCCAACACGTTCGAACAAAACAAAAACGAAGCCATCGAAGATCTTCTGATGCACGGGATCGGTCTTCTCAAGGAATCCAAGGAGACTGATCAGCAAGTGGGCGACTGCTCTTGCCGGCGGCGACTCTTTGATAATAGAAGGCGGCGTCTTGGTTTTCGTCTTCTTTGGCGAGGGTGGTTGCGACAAGAAAGTTTGCGCTGTCCTTCGCGCTGAGGCCTCGATTGATTGCAATCCGGCGTTGAACATATCTGCGACCTCGCAAACGATCAAACTCGAGAGTCTCACGTCAGCCTTTGTCTCCATGAGTTTGTTGGTACCGACAAGTAAGGACATGAAAGCTCTTGCGCAGACGGATAGAGCGATGGCAAAGTCGGATTTGTCTTGGTCCAACGACATGGCTTCCAGTGTCCTCCGCCCTCGACGCGACAGTTGCTCGTAGTTATGAGCGACTATGCATATGACTTTGCCGATACTCGAAGCAACTCTTACTAGATTGTGGCACAGTGTTTCGGCGTCCGGCTCTTCACTCCTGCATAGCGAGTGTATAGTATACAAAGCTTCCGTGAGATTCGAGCCGTCTTTACCGAGCACATCCAGGAAGTCCATATCATTATCGATGGTCTCCTGAGCAGCAGCGGCCGGTTGTAGGCACTGTTTCTGTGCTTGTCTCGATGGCTTAGATCTCTTTGGCGATGCAGTCGGCGCCATCAGCATGCTTGTATCAACATCGGGGACAGGTCCGGAGAGGCCGGACAGTAGGTGATTTGATCGTTCGAGTTTGATGTTGATACCCCGAAGCCTGCCGCATTCGTCCTCGGCCTGTTGACATCGCTCCTTCCAGTAGGCGACCTGATCAACGTAGCATTCGGAATCGTCCCGTTCCCTCGGGTCTGGACCAGGCCTGATTTGAGCACGCAGTTGCAGGACGTAGTCTAACGACCGTTAGAAGGTGTGCATGATCTGGGCAGTCGGAAACTACCTCGTATCGGTATGTCCGCCGGCTTACTGCGAACGATGGCAAGGGCAAGCGCTATCTGTTGTTGGGACGGAAGAAAATTTGGAACGGAAGGTGCATGCTGCGTCATGATGGGCGTGAGTGCGGCACCTGGGACGAGTAAAGGAGACAAGCGTAGTTGAAGCGACGATTGGAGATCTATTGATGGCGATTCCTGCGGTTGTCAAGAGAAACAGGCAAGGCATGTCCGGCAGAAGAAAGAAGGGTCGAGCTCCAAGCGCGCGTGTGTGAGGCAAGGAAGGAAGCATGCCCCCCGTACGTGAGGTTGGAAAGAGCGGCCACCATCAAAGGCAGCCACTGCGCAACATCCCACGCGGAAAGTCTGGGCTGGTAAACAATGCTACCGCTTCATTGTCGCATTCAATGCTCTTGTTATACATATCATGCTGACAACTTGGACTTGCAGCTGTCAGGTCATCGTATTGTACATATGGCTTACACGACTACATGCACTCACTACGTGCAACCTCATCCACCTCACCGCATGCGCTCAGTGCGCCTCTTGTAGGGCAGTGGCTCCACTCTCTTCCTCTTGAACTCTACAGCAATCTGATCCTTGAGACCATTACTCTCCATGACCTCGGCCATGCTCTCGTCCCACTTCGTCCTGAACAGCGTAGCGGTGATTGCGCTCAACTTGTTCGAATCGGCAAAGCTACGAAGGTTGAATCCCATGCGCTTGGCCTTGTTGATCTTGGTAACGTCGAGCGGCTGGTTGTCATGCTGCTCGAAGACGAAGATACCTAGGCGGTGGTAAGGCGCTCCTTTGTGGGCCCAGGGTGCTAACCAGGGTAGTGCGATCTTCTTGGCACTGAGATCCTCTGTCTTTTGGTCCTCTTGGGCGATACGCTGGAGTGGTATCGAAGTGCTGTTAGGCGAGATGGTGATGTTGGAGGCAATCAAGTGGCATCGGTAGGTGAAGCTGTCCTTCTCTGGAACTGGTACATCTGCGTCTACTACGACCACAGTGACGAGCTTCTCACCAGGTGTGAAGGTCTGAACATTGAGTCGAGGCATCTTTTCGCTAATGGCGGAGTCTACGAAGTCACCGGGCGCGACTGGCTTCCGTCCGAAGCCAAGATCGATGTCTGCAACCAAGTCGAGAGACGGGAGAAGATCGGGAATGATGGCAAGTTGCGTAACGCGTTGTTCGAGCACAAGACGCTTATACTGGCGCCATTTCCGGTCGGCAAGATAGCGGTATATGGGCTTGTTCATGTCACCTTCGCAAGTCAGTCAGGTTGAGAGAAAGCGGTTGGCACAACCTACCCTGTCCGTCCTCAAACTTTCGCTTCACAACAGGGTCGTTGATGTCGGCCAGGATGATCAGGTCATTCAGGTGCTTCCTCATGCTCCGCAGTCTGTGCTCCTTGGCTGCCGGGCCTCCACTGATGCTTGCGTCTTGCGCCATTAGGTTCTTTATCCGCTCCTGCTGAACCTTGATTTCCTTGATCTTCTCCTGCCTGTCTTCCAACAAGACCTTCCTCGCCTCCTGGAAACATTGGTACGGCAGCTGTTCGAATGGGACCTCGTCGGTCTTTTGCAGGGTCGACCGACGAAGGGCGGCACGGCGACGACGGGATCCAACGGGCTGGACATGTTCTCTCCGCAGCAATCGGCGCTCCTGCTTCTTGTTCTCCACCATCTGGGGGTCTAGCGTGCCCCATTTCTGCATGTATTCCGGAGTATCTTGGGAGCCGGCCTTTTGAGCAGCGCCTTCCGGAGGGTTCGACGGCGGTGGAGGGGGAGTCGCATTCGTGGGTTGTGTCTGCACCTCTTCACGGACGGCCGCCGAGGTGGAGAGGAGTCGGCGGGTGCCATTGGCGCTTGGTATTTGTCGCACGCATCTCAGACACGCGCTGAACTGGCGCAGGGTGGGTGTGGAGGCCATGGTGTTGATGGCGTCGACGATGTTCAAGAGCGATGGTGCCGCTGGAAAATGTGGTGATGACCACACTAGCGCTTTTCGTAGACCTCCGCCTCCAACTCCGACGACTGGAACAATTGCACCACGACGACCGGCATGGCTTCCACGAGGATATCCGCGCCCATGCGTGGCGCCACACACCAATTGAGAAGGCTGTCGGTGCGGCCAAATGCGCTGTGCACGCGCTGTGCCGTATGTTACCTCGCCGTCACTGTATGCGACATGCTAACGTCGTCAAGAAATCTCTATGCACGCCCACCACCCGCTCAATCACCACATCTGCGCCCTCTCAGGCGACACTAGCTTCTATAAGCACTCCCAGATCCGGATCCGGATATGTGCCCGTCAAACCTTTTGAAGAGCAGTCTGTGCTGGCGACCATCCACCGATTCCCCTCCCTCGAACCACTCCGATTCGAACAATACCCTGCAAACCATCTCTACCTACCCACCCGACGAGACATATTACACCGCGCGGTCGTTTACGAGGGCGATAGTACACGGTTAGGTACTGCTTCTACCAAGACTAGGTATGAAGTCAGAGGTTCCCGCAGGAAGGTCAGACCGCAAAAGGGAACGGGTCGCGCTCGTCTGGGAGACAAAAAGTCGCCCATGTTGAGGGGTGGAGGTGTCGCATTCGGTCCCAAGCCTCGCGACTTCGCAACTGAGCTGCCCAAGAAGATCTACGACCTCGCATGGCGGACAGCACTGTCATACCGGTTCCGAAAAGGCGAGCTGATCATTGTGGACAACGCAATGGAGATTGAGAGCCCGTCTGTGAGATTACTAGGTGACACCCTCAAGTACCACGAGAAATTGCTGGGCAGGGGCAGGAGCTTGATGGTAACACTGGAAGAGCGACCCTTACTAGAGCAAGCTTTGGCGGAGATGGATCGCGGCGAGCAAACACTCACATGGGAAGAAATCGACGTCAAGAACCTTCTCGAGCTGTCCCGGGTCATCATCGAGCGCGACGCCCTGCACAACATCCTCCTCTCCCACGAGGAAGACCTCACACACAAGGCTCTCCAGCCCTGGCACAAGAGCCTCATCCGATCATCGCCACCCACGGGGCTCGAATCGACCATCGGCTGGGAAGAATTCCGCGAACTCTCCCTCTCCGACCCCAAGGAAAAGGACACCATCCGCGCCGATATCTACGAGAACGTAGCAGGAACCCGCTACGCCTACGCCGAGTCCCTTCCCCAAGGACCCAAGCGCAACGAACTCACCGTATCCGCCTACAACCTCCTCGCCGAAGCCAAAGAACTGCAATTCGCTGAAAGGACCGGCCACTCTTTCGCCGACTACCTCAACGACGCCAACACTGAATCCTTCCCTCGTCTGCAGATGCTGACCTACCAAATCAACACAAAACAAGATCTCGCTGGGCCCGGCGGTACTCTGGAAACCTCGCCCGTAAAATCTGAAGAACTTATGATCGAGGTCCGTGAGCTCGAAGTGC